CCCGGAGGGATCCAGATATCCCGACCTCGGGCGTTCGATGGGACGCCGGCTCTATGTCAGGGATTCCGTCTCCAACTGGAGCTGTACTGCTCCAGTGTCAGGCCGGCGCCATCAGATCGAGAGAAGGTGTCCGTCCTCATTTCCTGCCTCTCGGGGAAAGCCCTGGAGTGGGCCAACGCGGTTTGGAGAGAAGGAGGAGCCGCGTTGGAGGACTACAGGGAGTTCGCCCGCCTATTTCAGCCGGTTTTCGATCACCCGCCCGAGGGTCGAGAGGCGGGTGAGCAGCTGGTCCACTTGAGGCAGGGGACGAGGACAATACAGGAGTTCGCGCTGGAGTTCCGGATCCTGGCAGCAGGGTCCGGGTGGAACGAGCGGGCCCTGATCAACCAGTTCCGGTGCCATATACGGGAGGACGTCCGACGGGAGCTAGCCTGTCGTGACACCAGTTTGTCTTTTACTGAACTGGTGGACATGGCCATTCGTCTGGATAACCTGCTGGCAACCAGAGGACGTCCTGGAGGAGGTCTGACTGTTCCCGCCCCGACCGACGCGGATCCAGAGCTCATGGAGCTGCACCGAGAGAGCGGAGGACGACAGCGCCAGTGACACTCGGATGGCACGAAGGGACATTCCACCACACGTTGTCGTCAGCGCTCTTTTGGGTCAGGAGGCGGCCGGCAGGGCACTCTCGCATCACCCCAGGTATTGAGCACCCACTCTTGTTCAGAGCCCTCTGCTGAGCACTGTACTATACCCATATACTTCCCTGATCACATGAGAGTTCCCCAGTGTAAGGCGCTAGTCGATTCAGGCGCAGCTGGGAACTTTATGGACAAAACTTTCGCACGCCGCCAGGGCATATCATTAGTTCCCCTATCCATTCCACGCCCCATCAGAGCACTTGATAGTCGACCATTAGGGTCCGGGTTGATAAAGGAAGTCACGGTACCAGTCACCATGATCACACAGGAGACGCATTGTGAGCAGGTAACATTTTCCATCATTGAGTCTCCTGCTTTCCCTGTGGTGTTAGGTATTCCGTGGCTAGCACTCCACAACCCCACTTTCTCATGGCCGCAGAGGGTTCTCACGGGGTGGTCACGAGAGTGTCAGGGTAGGTGTATGGGTGTTTCCGTTGGTGCAACCACGGTAGAAAGTCCAGACGGTGCCTCCACCGTGCGCAATCCCCACGAATACCTTGATCTGGCACAAGTCTTCTCTAAAAGTAAAGCGACTAAATTGCCACCTCATCAGGCAGGGGATTGCGCAATAGACCTTCGGGTAGACGCTGTACCTCCCAGGAGTCATGTGTATCCCCTGTCGCAGGCAGAGACGGAGGCTATGCACCAGGGGTACATACGTCCCTCCACTTCACCCGCCTCCTCGAGTTTCTTTTTTGTGAAGAAGAAAGACAGCGGTCTGCACCCGTGCATTGACAATCGACCACTGAACAAGGAGACGATTAGATTTAGTTATCCTCTCCCCCTCATTCCATCAGTGGTTGAGTCATTACATGGAGCACGCTTCTTCACTAAATTAGATCTCAGGAGTGCGTACAACCTGGTGCGTATCCAAGAGGGAGATGAGTGGAAGACAGCACAACCACGGGGCATTATGAATACCTGGTGATGCCATATGGTTTGATGAATGCTCCCTCAGTCTTCCAGTCCTTTGTGAATGAGGTGTTTCGGGACATGCTTGGTCGCGGTGTAGTGGTCTACATCAACGACATCTTGGTGTATTCCGCTACGCGCGCCGAGCATGTGTCCCTGGTTCGCAAAGTACTGGCCCGACTGCTGGAAAATGACCTTTATGCTAAGGCAGAAAAGTGTACGTTTTTCCAGCAGTCTGTCTCCTTCCTCGGATACCGCATTTCTACCACAGGTGTGGAGATGGAGGGCGACCGCATTGCAGCCGTGCGTAATTGGCCGACTCCAACCACGGTAAAGGAGGTGCAGCGCTTCCTTGGCTTCGCCAACTATTATCTGAGGTTTATCCGGGGCTTTGGCAAGGTCGCAGCTCCCATTACATCTCTGTTGAAGGGTGTGCCGTCCCGGCTCCGCTGGTCTGCTGAGGCTGACAGGGCCTTCAGTAACCTGAGGGAACTGTTCACAACGGCCCCGGTACTGGCCCACCCTGATCCATCACTACCGTTCGTAGTGGAGGTGGATGCGTCCGAGGTTGGGAAGGGAGCAGTCCTGTCTCAACGCTCGGGCACGCTACCCAAGCAGAACTACGGCGTTGGTGATCGGGAGCTGTTGGCTGTTGTCCGAGCTCTGACAATGTGGAGACATTGGCTCGAGGGGGCGAAACACCCATTCCTCGTCTGGACGGACCACCATAACCTGGAGTACAGCCGGGCAGCGAGGAGGCTGAACCCTCGCCAGGCCAGGTGGGCCCTATTCTTCACCCGGTTTGATTTCACACTGTCATACATTCTGGGTACGAAGAACGTGAAGGCAGACGCACTGTCCAGGCTGTGTGATACAGAGGAGAGGCCCAGAGACTATACCCCCATACTGCCAGACTCCTGCATTGTGGCGCCGTGATCATCTGATCTACTGAGCACACACGTCACCCTCCTCTGGTCAGTGCGCTGCCTGACCGAAAAGTACTGGGTTCCACCCTGAGAGTAATGGGCAGGTGGAACGGGTTAATCAGGACGTCGGTAGGTTCCTGAGGTCCTGTGTTCCTTCCATGGGCAGAATATGCCCAGAACTCTCTCCGCCAACCTAACACCATTTCAGTGTGTTTTAGGTTATCAACCAGTTCTGGCACCGTGGCACCAGAGCCAGACCGAAGTTCCTGCGGTAAGCAATGGCCAAGGGGGGGGGGTGGTAAAATTGGCCCAAATACAGCTAAGGGTGTTTTTTGAGACAATGGGAAAAGCCCAACCCCCTTCCCGGGGATTTGGCTTCCCCCCGGCTTATACCCCCTTAAAAGTCCATTATAACATTATTTTTTTTGTCAAAACCCCTGGTACTCTCCAAGTCGGAAAGGTTTTTTTGCCCCCTTGTGAGTGATTGTTCGTTGTGAGAGTGAGTAGCTCGGTTGAGCTACTCTTTATTTGTATTCAGCCAAGGTTGATTTTCCTTGTGCTAGTTTTCGTTCTGTCGCTATATTTACATTTTAGTCATTAGCAGTTAGTGAATACATTTTTTTTATACTGGCCCCCCGTGGGAATCGAACCCACAACCCTGGCGTTGCAATCGCCATGCTCTATCAACTGAGCTACATCCCTGCCGGCCATTCCCTCCCCTGCCCTGGACGACGCTGGGCCAATTGTGCGCCGCCCATGAGTCTCCCGGTCGCGGCCGGCTGCGACAGAGCCTGGATTCGAACCAGGATCTCTAGTGACACAGTTAGCACTGCGATGCAGTGCCTTAGACCACTGCGCCACTCAGGATACTATATACTATATGCGTTACCTTATTGTACACTGAATAAACTCTTTCGGTGTTTTACCTCCTGCGCCTGACTCCGTCATTCACACCTCATCACAGTATGATATGATATGATATGATTTATTTAAGTGTCATACACCTACTGGTGCCCAGCCCACATGGGCTTACAAGACAATATAAAACAAAATAGCATTTTACAGATTATATGCATACAATAATCATGGCTAGTACAGCTACCATCTAGCCAAACAGTACATTTCTCCTTCTCCTCCAGGCATTGGCAAATATTGCATATCATAAACACGCCGCGTCTGACAACATCGTCGGGTGCCTGACACAGCCCTTAGCCGTGGTGGGGATATTGCCCATATATCACAACCCCCGAGGTGCCTTATTACTATTATAAACTGTTACCCAATGTAATTAGAAGCAGTAAAAATAAATGTTTTGTCATACCCGTGGTATACGGTCTGATATCCCACGGCTGTCAGCCAATCAGCATTCAGGGCTCGAACCACCCAGTTTATAATTGTGTATTAGTATTGTACTGTTAGACATTTACTGCACTGCTAGACCTAGGAACAAAAGCATTTAGCTACACCTGCTTTAGCATCTGCTAATCTGTGTACGCGACAAATAAACTTTGATTTGAGAACAGTGTGTAATTGTCTTTCAGGAATTAGGAAACCTGTTGATTCCCTAAATGTAATCTCCCAGAATTTTCTCAGAGACAAATAATAGAAGACCTTTAGGGAAAGGGGGATACCTAGTCAGTTGTACAACTGAATGCATTCATCTGAAATGTGTCTTCCGCATTTAACCAAAACCCTCTGAATTGGAGAGGTGTGGAGGGCTGCCTTAATCGACATCCACGGTGCCCGGAGAACAGTGGGTTAACTGCCTTGCTCAGGGGCAGAATGACAGATTTTTACCTTGTCAGCTCGGGGATTCAATCCAGCAACCTTTCCGTTACTGGCCCAATGCTCTTGCTACCTGCTTTACCCAGTTATGACAATGCACATGTCTATTGTCCTGTTGATTTGAAGAGTGTAAGATGTGGAATACGCTGTCACAAGTTACTGTCCCATGAGCAACTATACACAGTAAACTTCATCATCATGATACTGGATGCATGTAGTGAGATAGGACCATTCTCATTCCTTCTGTTGACCATGGACATGTTCAGCTTGATTAGACGAGTTAGGAATCTGTCCCCCCAAGCAGCATTTTTACAGTGTGAGGAATCTTTGACACAGAGAAAGTGCAGCGGCATCAGCAACCTTAATAATAATAATGCATGGTATTTATATAGCGCTTTTCAAGGACCCAAAGTCTCTATACAACTGTAGAAACAAGAAACAAGATCAAACAACGGCAGACTAAGCAGAAGGACGAATAAACATGACGGTTCAATAGAAGGTTTATATCCCCATATCCGAGGGAAGAGGTTTGAGAAAGGACTATTATCTGGATGAGGCACCTCTTTAATGAGAGAGAGAGCGAGAGAGAGAGAGAGGGAGTGGAGGAGAAAGAGAGTGATTGAAAGAGAATAGCAGACACAGGGATATGGCGGTGGTTGGTCTGTAAGAGGTGAAAATGAAAGCTCCTCCTCATTTCCATGAGATAGGGTCACCCCTGGTGAACTGGCGTCAGCTGCCCTGCTTTGATGTGGCAGCCGTGGTAACAGAGAAATGGACAGGGCCCCAAGGGCAGATAGACTCACTACACCAGGGGAAGCTGAAGGAAACTGACCTGCTACTGTTTGTGTGTGTGTGTGTGTGTGTGTGTGTGTCTGTGTGTGTGTGTGTGTGTGTGTGTGTGTGTGTGTGTGTGTGTGTGTGTGTGTGTGTGTGTGTGTGTGTGTGTGTGTGTGTGTGTGTGTGTGTGTGTGTGTGTGTGTGTGTGTGTGTGTGTGTGTGTGTGTGTGATGTAAGAAGGGGAACATTCCCTACAGAGCCCCTACAAGCATTGCTCCACCAGGTCATAAAGCAGTATGTTAGAAATGTTCATCTCATTAGCCGGCTCTGAGGCCTGGACCTGGACTTCTAATTAGCATGGACTGAAGTCCTACATTACTAGTCCTATGTTATGTACATGTTGTTATTTACATGTTATGTTATGTACTGAGGTGTTATACATGCTATTACACCCCCTATTGTTTTAGAGTGTTTGATATGTCATTTGTGAGCACTATTAGTAATTATTATTCCTATTAGTAGCGCATTTGTAAACAGTGAACAGCATGGACAGAGGGACTAGACTACAGTAATCTACTCTTAAGGGACGTCACATTACTGTGATGACACTAATTAGAAAATAATTTCGTTATCAGTCTCTGTGGGGTCAGACACTAACCTGGTGGCCCATATTTATTTCTCTCTTTGTCTTCTCTCGCTCTCTTTCTCTCTTTCTTACTTTCTTTCTTTCTTTCTCTTTCTCCGTTTTTTTTCTGTGAGCATTCCGTAATCAGGTCTGTGTTTCTGCTGGTAGATGTGATAAAAACTATTTCAGGAACGCGCTTCCCTAATCCACACCCGTAAGCTGGGCATGTTTCCGTGGCAACTCCAAGTGACTAAAAGTGTCTACTGGAGGAAGCTTTCCGGAACAGTCATGACTCCTCCTGGGTATTTAAACCCTTTCTTCCCTCCCCGAGCATTGTCATCTGCAGACTCCAGACTGGTCAAAAGGAGTGCACTATGTAGGGAATGGGGTTCCATTTGGGACCCAGATTGGCTTGAAGTACATTACAGAGTAGAGTCTGTGGGGGTTGGGGTTGGGGTTGAAGGGGCAACAGGTAGCAAGGTAATTGTTTATCTGGCAGTCGGTTGAGTTCATAAAAGGGCACTTCACAGAAGTACCATTGTGCCACATGAAAAGAAAGCCTGTGAAGTGTGGCGCTGGGATGACAGACGAGCGTCATTGGCGTGGAGTCTCTCTCTCTTTCTCCTTCTCACTCTGTCTCTCTCTCTGTCCCTCTTTCTCTCTCCCTCTCTCTCCTCTCTCCCCTGCTCTCTCTCTCTCCCCCCTTCTCTCTCTCTCTGTCTCTTTGTCTCTCTCCCTCAGTGATTTGTAGTGTGGCCATCAGAGCTTTGACAGCTGGTAATGGATGTCTCCTGGCAACGGACACACTCCCACACTGCTTAGCGGTGGCGTGCGAGTCCCTCAGCCTCCGCTCGATGCTGTTCCCTTTTCTTCCTGTGTGGGAAGGGGAGGGTGGGGTGGGGTAGGGTGACAGACTGTGACCATGTTTAGTTCACTCTGTTTGTGAGTTTGTCTGTGTTTACTTCACTGTGGGTGTGACGTGCGTGTGACACTGTATGACACTAATGTATACACTGTTTCAGTGACTTGATGTGAATCTGGTCCAACCCAAACTGGACCATTTTGTCTGTTATAAGTCAAGTTTTATTTGTAGTGCATTTCACATCTCAATACACTTTACAAAAAATATGAGCTCTTCCTGAATGTGTGGTCCCCTATGGTGAAGTCCTATAGGTGTCCTTTGACCCCTGGGTGGTCTGATTTAACCCCATCATCTCATTGTGTCTGCTTGAGATTAGCTGGCTGTAACACTAGGTTAATACCTAGAAGAGGGCTTCTGACTGTCCTGCAATATACCGTATACATAATATACACTGTATTGTACTGCACCCTGTACAGTATCTCTTCTGGTTTGATATGCTTTATTCTATCCAGCATTACCAGTAGTTCCTGGTAATAAGTTAGTGAAGATAGTAGTCCCCTGTAACTCAGTTGGTAGAGCATGGTGCTTACAACACCAGGGTTGTGGGTTCGTTTCCCACAGGGGGCCAGTTTGAAAATGTATGCACTCACTAACTGTAAGTCGCTCTGGATAAGAGCGTCTGCTAAATGACTAAAATGTAAATGTAAGATAAAGTTTCAAATGAGTGGTAGTTGGAGTACGTACCAGTCCTGATCTTTAAGAATACATTTTTTTTTTACGATTTAAAATTGTGGCCATTGTGGCAGTTTTGTCAATGTTGCAGTGCTGAGAGAGAAGTGATCATTGCTTTAACTTACCATCCGATACACTTACCCCTCCCTCTGTTTCCACTCTGTTGCCTTGGATATCATGGTGTCCATTGTATGGATGTATAGATGATTTACTATTTATGTTTTTAGAAAGTATTGTATAGTGCGTAGTCGTCTGTTGATTTTACATCCAGTTTCATCTTTGGTATCAGTTTGTTGTTGATTTGACATCCAGTCTAGTCTCAACTGTTCTCAACAGTTCTCAACTGTTCTCACCTCTCACAACAGCTTTTTAAAGCTCATGACTTAGAGCAGGGTTTCTTCAACTTTTTCAGCCTGGAACCCAAATGAGAAATTCAGTGTTCAGTAATTTCAAATGTTGCCATTTTGCGTAGAGAAAATGTAGCGGTTTTACAGGAAGTTTTCTGCAATTCTACAAATCATGCCATGGGGCGGAGAGAACATTTAGCATTTTATAACACATTTCATGCAATTCTGCTCATTTTGCAATGGGACAGAGAGAAAAACATTTCAGTTTTACAGCTAATTTCCTGCAATTCTATCCACTTTGGATCGCGACCCCTACTTTAAGAAAGGCTAACTTAGAGGGTGTAAAATCAAGTGGCGTTTAACCGACACCTCAGAGCTACCAATGGGCCTGACTGAGAGAAAGGTATGTGTTGGATGGAGAATAGCTGGAAGTAGTGGGCTACTGCCTATTGTGTGTAAATGCTAAATTTGGCTTTGACTTCCCAGTAGTTGTGTTTTGGGGCCTGCTTTCAGTCACCACCATCTGCTTTAACACCCATTTACACATTACATTACTGTAAATGTTTGCGCTTGGCATTGATACAGTTGAAGTCGGAAGTTTACATACACTTAGGTTGGAGTCATTAAAACTTGTTTTTCAAACACTCCACAAATTTCTTGTTAACAAACTATAGTTTTGGCAAGTCGGTTAGGACATCTACTTTGTGCATGACACAAGTAATTTTTCCAGCAATTGTTTACAGACAGATTATTTCATTTATAATTCACTTGATCACAATTCCAGTGGGTCAGAAGTTTACATACACTAAGTTGACTGTGCCTTTAAACAGCTTGGAAAATTCCAGAAAATGATGTCATGGCTTTAGAAGCTTCTGATAGGTTAATTGACATCATTTGAGTCAATTGGAGGTGTACCTGTGGATGTATTTCAAGGCCTACCTTCATACTCAGTGCCTCTTTGCTTGACATCATGGGAAAATCAAAAGAAATCAACCAAGACCTGTACAAACAATAGTACGCAAGTATAAACACCATGGGACCACGCAGCCGTCATACCGCTCAGGAAGGAGACACATTCTGTCTCCTAGAGATTAACGTACTTTGGTGCGAAAAGTGCAAATCAATCCCAGAACAACAGCAAAGGACCTTGTGAAGATGCTGGAGGAAACAAACGTATCTATATCCACAGTAAAACAAGTCCTATATTAACATAACCTGAAAGGCCGCTCAGCAAGGAAGAAGCCACTGCTCCGAAACCGCCATAAAAAAGCCAGACTACGGTTTGCAACTGCACATGGGCACAAAGATCGTACTTTTTGGAGAAATGTCCTCTGGTCTGATGAAACAAAAATAGAACTGTTTGGCCATAATGACCATCGTTATGTTTGGAGGAAAAAGGGGGACCTTGCAAGCCGAAGTACACCATCCCAACCGTGAAGCACGGGGGTGGCAGCATCATGCTGTGGGGGTGCTTTTCTGCAGGAGGGACTGGTGCACTTCACAAAATAGATGGCATCATGAGGAAGGAAAATTATGTGGATATATTGAAGCAACATCTCAAGACATCAGTCAGGAAGTTAAAGCTTGGTCGCAAATGTGTCTTCCAAATGGACAAAGTTGTGGCAAAATGGCTTTGACAAAGTCAAGGTATTGGAGTGGCCATCACAAAGCCCTGACCTCAATCCTATAGAATATTTGTGGGCAGAACTGAAAAATGGTGTGCGAGCAAGGAGGCCTACAAACCTGACTCAGTCACACCAGCTCTGTCAGGAGGAATGGGCCAAAATTCACCCAACTTATTGTGGGAAGCTTGTGGAAGGCTACCCGAAATGTTTCACCCAAGTTAAACAATTTAAAGGCAATGCTACCAAATACTAATTGAGTGTATGTAAACTTCTGACCCACTGGGAATGTGATGAAAGAAATAAAAGCTGAAATAAATAATTCTCTCTACTATTATTTTGACATTTCACATTCTTAAAATAAAGTGGTGATCCTAACTGACCTAAGACAGGGAATTTAGGATTAAATGTCAGGAATTGTGAAAAACTGAGTTTAAATGTATTTAGCTAAGGTGTATGTAAACTTCCGACTTCAACTGTATATCTTAGATAGGTAGTCCATTCCAGTCATTGGCCTGCCTTGTCCAGGATCACACTGGATGATCTATGGTTAGCCTACTCTTTTGTTCAGGTTGCCAGGGTGATTTCTTATGTTTGGAATCTGTATGGTTGTTTTCCAGTGCAATGGACCATATATTAGGTTGCCAGGTTTTAGTTAGCAACCACATTGCTAGGCTTCATTATTGTGTATTTATCAGGTTTCTGCTAAGACGCTGGTCTGAACACAACACATTTTCTCAGGCATGTCTGCATCGCCAAGGCTCACTGGCAAATCTATGCGAAGGAATCTAACCAATGGGCAGAATGTTTTAATTTGGTTACCAAGAGATAAAACTGTACTGTGATGCACTGTGGTGATACACCCAGAATGTACAGCATGAGGGGAGAAGACTCTTACTCATAGCTATGTCATCATATCATCATATAAAGGTAGAGGGATGGGCATATCTGACAGATATCTAATTATAAGATCATACTGTTGACTTCTTGCATCTTGCACTGTGAATAAAAGGGGGTAATTAAATCTTGTGTTTTCTCATTAGTCTTTGTTGGGTTTAATCTCTGGTAATCAACTAAGACCCTTGGGTCTATCTTCTTTCATTATTAATCTACATGAGCTACTAACAGATTGATACAGTACTGTAGGCTACATCTGTGTTTTGCAGCATTGGTCCCACACTGGTCTAGTTCCGGGAGCCGTTTTCTGGTTTCGGTCACCTTGCCTTGTTATCATCATAACCAATAAAATGTATATTACAGCTGTGATCATAAAAGCCTTTCTCTCAGTCCACCACCCATCCTATCAGATAACTCTGTATTTATTCAATCCACTCCCTCATACCACATGTACCACTTGTGTGAGGAAGGGGATGTACGTGTGTGTGTGTGTGTGTGTGTGTGTGTGTGTGTGTGTGTGTGTGTGTGTGTGTGTGTGTGTGTGTGTATGTGATGAAAGAGTCTGTGCATACAAGTGTGTTCTCTATCTCAAATACGGATGGCCATTATGTTCGGCCTCGACAGGTGTGTGTGTGTGTGCTCTCTGGTCATTTTTCATCTGTAAATGGGTTTTGGTTACCAAGCGACAGAGCCATTAGGTCACACGAGGCAATGTACACTCTGGTGTGTACGGTGTGTTCCTGGAAAATAATTGAATCACAAACAGAATCAGATATTCGTTTTGGTTTCCCCCCCACTTCCTCCTGCATCTCTGCTGCCTGGTACGGTAGGAGCAACACAGGGTTTGTATAAGGCGTTAGACAACCACTGCCATCTGCCTAAGTCGCATCCCAAATGGCATCCTGTATTGACCAGTGTCAAAAGTAGTGCACTATGTAGGGAATAGGATGCCATTTGGGATGCAGCCCTGTTGTACATGTATTCCCTCTCTACTCTAGCAGGAGGAGGGAATAGAAAAGGATGTATTCAGCCAATGCATACAGATGAGGACCCAGCTCTGCGGCTCGGGGTAAACAGGCTGAGGCAGTATTCTATCAAAGGCCTCCTGCTGGGTGTGCTGCTCCTCAAGCTGCTGTGAAGCTGCCTGTGTTCTCCTCCAAACACAAAGAGACCAGAGCAGATTGGGTTTAACAGCACCGTGGACAGGCGTCAGCACAACACGCTAAGATAAATAAGACGCTGAGTCCTCTTTGAAGAGACGGGTAATGAACTTGGATAAACACAACACTGACCTATTACGTGATGCAGTGAGTGGCATTTGAGGTACGTCAGTAAGAGGATGATTGTGTACTTGTCTTTTGTCACGCTTATGACGTGATGCACCTTTGTATGTCTTTGTGACACAACTGGAATGGTGATCTCAGCTAAAGCTAAAGCAAACGCCACAATGACTTTTCATCACGAAGCTCAAACACTGAACTCTTTTGGTATTTAGATTCCAGTGCTTTTGCAGATTGGAATGCATGCTGTAAACCAGGGCTATTCAACTGCATTCCTGGAGGGCCCAAACACGTCTGTTTTTTGATAGTTCAATTCATTCATCAGTCTCAGGTCTATGTCATCTCTGATTATAGGGGGAAAATGAACACCAGAAGAGTAACTGGCCTCGAAGGCCAAGGTTTAAGACTTTTGGTTGAGACCACAGGCTTTGACTCCCTAACCTTTGACCTTAACATAACAGGTCTGTTTCTCTGTTTCAGTATTGCAGGTTTGGGGTGTTTTGCAGAGTGTGTATGGGGCACATGAAGCTCATGACTGTATGTTTGTAGTGTTATCTGTTTCTGTAGGGGCAGAGTCCAACACCTCAACTCCTGGCACACATGGCAGCTCTGGGCCCACAGATACATCCATGACCCCAGGAGATAGATCCACCACCCTCTTATCCACAAAGACCCCAGTCTCCACTGAACCCATCTCCACCACCACAGACAGAGCCACCACCACCATCCAGGACCCCTCAACTGTCCTCACTAGCACTGAGGGCACCTCACCCACAACAGCAGCCATCTCTAAAACTGAAGAGGTCTCTACTACAACAGACCGGACCTCAAATTCTGATACGACAGAGTCTACACGAGCAGTCAGCACCACTGCGACAGAAACCATAACTATCTCGTCAGTCAGCATAGCAGAGATTACTTCCTCCCACAAGACCACAGCGTACACTGTCACTTCCCCTGAGTCGACGGAAAAAGACAGTCCATCTACAGACAGCGGCACGACACCACCTGACCTTAGCAGAGGTGTCTCTCTGTCTACCACGGAACATAACGGAACCTCCTCCTCTGTCACCACTGAGACAGGCCGTACCTCAGCTGATGTCCCCACAGAGTCAAACACAACTCCAGACATTGTCCCAACCAGCAGCACCAAAGAGCCAGGCAAACATGAAACAACAGCTATCAATACAGCTACCACAGATACAGGTACCAAAGACAGTGAGATCACAGGTACAGGGATCACAAAGACCACCATCCCACCAACTGGTCAGACCTCTCTCCCAGTAACAGAGGGTAGTACCCTGTCTTCTACACACTCCGCCGCTACTACAAAGGGCCCTGAGACCTCTCTCCCAGTATCACATAGTACCCTGCCCTCTTCCTCGACCAGCGCCAATACAGAGGGCTCCCAGATCCCCACTACAAAGGGCCCTGAGACCTCTTTCCCAGCATTCCATAGTACCCTGCCCTCTTCCTCGACCAGCGCCAATACAGAGGGCTCCCAGATCCCCACTACAAAGGGCAATGTGACCTCTCTCCCAGCATTCCATAGTACCCTGCCCTCTTCCTCGACCAGCGCCAATACAGAGGGCTCCCAGATCCCCACTACAAAAGGCAATGTGACCTCTCTCCCAGTATTCCATAGTACCCTGCCCTCTTCCTCGACCAGCGCCAATACAGAGGGCTCCCAGATCCCCACTACAAAAGGCAATGTGACCTCTCTCCCAGCATTCCATAGTACCTTGCCCTCTTCCTTGACCACCGCCAATACAGATGGCTCCCAGACCCCCACTACAAAGGGCAATGTGACCTCTCTCCCAGCATTCCATAGCACCTTGCCCTCTTCCTCGACCACTGCCAATACAGAGGGCTCCCAGGTCCCCACTACAAAGGGCCCTGAGACCTCTCTCCCAGTATTCCATAGTACCTTGCCCTCTTCCTTGACCACCGCCAATACAGATGGCTCCCAGGTCCCCATTACAAAGGGCAATGTGACCTCTCTCCCAGCATTCCATAGTACCTTGCCCTCTTCCTTGACCACCGCCAATACAGATGGCTCCCAGGTCCCCATTACAAAGGGCAATGTGACCTCTCTCCCAGCATTCCATAGCACCCTGCCCTCTTCCTCGACCACTGCCAATACAGAGGGCTCCCAGGTCCCCACTACAAACGGCAATGTGACCTCTCTCCCAGTATTCCATAGTACCTTGCCCTCTTTCTCGACCACCGCCAATACAGAGGGCTCCCAGACCCCCACTACAAAGGGCGCTGTGACCTCTCTCCCAATGACAGATAGCACCCCGTCCTCAACCCCCACCGATACCATTACAGGGAGCCCTCATACAGACAAAACCAATGGAACAGAGGGGACTACCGATTCTACAACCACAACTGGCACTCCAGCCTCGCCCCCCACCTCCAGCCCACCCTCTCCAGGCTCAACCCAAACCCCAGGCAGCAGCACTGCTGCCCCCATAGACACCTCCACCACCACCCCTGCCCCCTCACCCACCATCACACCTACAGGAGGTACGCTTCAAGATTTCATTGTCCGGGTCATTTGTTGTAAACATGATTGTGTCTGTGTTATATCTGAAGGAGGACTAAATTGAATGCAGCAAACTGATTAAAAACAAATATATTATCTTCACTGTGAGATGTTAATCAATGTTGAAGCTTCCTTTCTAATTTGATCTTTGTCATGTCTTCTTTCCTTCTTTTTTTTTTACCACAGAAACTCCTGGACAACCAACTAGCAAAACTAGTGAGAGCCCACTTCCTCCTTTCCACACCTCCACCTCCCCTATTGGTGGAAGCACCACCCAGCCAGAGTCAGCCATCACTGCTGCCACCTCCCTGCCTCCACCAATCTCCATAGTGTGTCCCTCCACTCCCTGTCCATACAATAGCATCTGTCTCAGTGGCACCTGCCAGTGTGTGTCTGGGACCTTCCTCTTAGAGGGCAGCTGTGTACCAGGTTAGTGCTAGTTGTTAGTGTTATAATGAAGACAATGATGGTGATGATGCTGAGGATGATGCTGATAATGGCGATGGTGGTGGGGATGATGGTGATGATATTTTCCCCTTCATTTTCAGCCCAAGTGTTCTCTGGAGAACTACATTTCAGCCAGACATTTCAGGTAGAAATGAGCAACCGGTCATCAGTGATATTTCAGCAAACAGCAGCCAAGATCTCAGATGCAGTAGGTCCTTCAGTCACAAAGCCCAGTAGTTACAACGTATTCTCCTCTCAGAGCTACAGAGGGGGACAATAATCCTCTCTTATCTTATCTTATTTTTAGCTGAGAGGAGCCTTGGAAAACATGTCTGGATACAACCAAACTGATGTTGTGCTGCTTAGGTAAGATTCTCTACGCTACATTGTCAAGAATGGTTGTTATCCAATGTATATCCCACTGGGCACAGACATAATTTCAACATCTTTTCCACAACGTTGATTCAACCAGTGTGTGCCCAGTGGGATTTGTTGTGATGACCAGGACATTGGTTTGACCATACATTTTATCAGCTGGTTTATAATCGTGATTATGTATGGTCTTTGTGACCCTACAGGCAAGGCAGTGTGATAGCGACCGTGAACAACGTGTTTAAACTAGGTTCCAGTGCCACCCAGACTTCGACCGTTGCCGCTATAGAGAAAGCCATACAAGTATGTGGGACGACCTGTGGGACTGTACTGGACAGAGCTACATTTACCGGTGGGTACTGTGTATTACTGTTCACCCTGTGTAGAAGGAGTGACCAGCAGGGAGATTCTTACTACCTGAGAGCTTTAACCATACTTTCTATTCATTAAAATAATAGGTAGATAGGTACTCTATTATACCAGAGGGAGAATGTAATGGCAAAGAACAGTAGACTAAAATACTGACATTCTTGTACTTCTGTAGACATAAAACAAAGTGCCATAAAACAGGAAGTACCATTACATAGTGTCATTATCCTGACTGGAGTGTGTCCCTGTCCTTTTCCCAGCCACCAACCTATGTGATCAGACCCCCCTACCGTGTGATGTCCCCTCTACTACTTGTGAGTACAAAGATGGAGTGACCAGATGCTTCTGTAAAGCTGGCTACATCAACAGCCTCTACTCAAACCGCAGCTGCACAGGTGAGTACAAACCTGTCTCTTATGGGTTTATGCTCATTGAAAGGTTATTCGAGATAGGAGTCGTGATTATATATATTAGTAGTCTTTGTGTTTGTACGTACTGAGTGCATTGGAATGTTACACAAGATACAAGTTAACAGCTTAGCTACCGTATAATGGAGCTGCTGAATACATTCCATTTCATAGAGAGAGATGAGCAAAGGAGATACAAACAGACAGACAGAGGCAGACTCAGAGCAAGGTCAAGTACACTTGGCTTAGCTTCAGTGTGAACAAAATGGGAAAGTTACCATCAAAAGAATGCATTTGCGTTCATTAAAATACTTTTGTGTGTCTGTGTGTGAGAGAGAGAGAGAGAGAGAGAGAGAGAGAGAGAGAGAGAGAGAGAGAGAGAGAGAGAGAGAGAGAGAGAGAGAGAGAGAGAGAGAGAGAGAGAGAGGAGAGAGAGAGAGAGAGAGAGAGAGTCAAGTTCTGTGTAGATGTTTCTCCTCTCTGACCCATGGCACTATATATCTCTTTAATGTATTTGTCTGCAAAGGGGGCGTTGCCCTGGAAACCAGTTGAAGAATCATGGTCACTATCTGCCGAGCCAGGGGCTGGATTAGTTTTGTCCAGCAGGGCAGTTATTGGATGGGGAGAACTACTAAACAATAAGTAATGTAGATGACCGTACTCCCCACGGCCCCATGGTAAACTACACATACTGTGTAGCCTGTTCCTCAAATCTAAAATGGTACATGCTGATGTTACAGCATATAGCATCTTCTCTAAGAGCAAGTGTTTGTTATGTGGCTTATTCAGCTAATTTATTGAGCAAACATTGGTGAGCTTCTCCTGGTCTCCTCTGTGATAGCGGAGCTACAGTACACAGAGTGGGTGATAAGATCACAGTGTTCCCATGTTAGTTCCTCTCTGTGACACTGTGACATCACTGTCTCCATAGAGATCCTATAATTCACATTGTTCTATATTTATATTTGGCTGTCTCTCTCATGTTTCCTCTTTCTCCATAGCCTGTCCCAGTGGTCAAAGGGCAGAGGGAGACACATGTGTGCCGTGAGTATTTTAATTTAATCTCTTTTTGTTTGGTTGAGACAGGCAGAGTTCCCTTGTTGAAATTGCATTAAAGCATAGTAGATAGCTGCAAATAACTAGCGCCCCCTTGTGCCCTTACTGTGTAATTGCACCAGGAACTACTGTGACCTAAGACAATGTATTGTGGTTAGATTATATGAAATGTGTATCATGTTTGCTATTATTGTTCTATTCCAGATGCCCGTTTGGCTACGCTGGATTCAACTGCACTGACTGTAAGTTGCACTAAAGCTCCTCTTTCTTAACCAAATGGGTCCAGAGATTTTATAAAAGTTAGTGTGGTGTTTGTATTTCCAAGTTATCTGAAGTGTGTTCGTGTGTTCTCTCTCTATGTAGCGGCTCTGTTGGCAGTGGTGGTCATCGCCTGTGTACTGGGGGGAGTCCTTATCATCATGCTGCTGGCCCTGTTTGCGTACTGCTGCTGGTAAGAATATAAAACCCTCCCCTCCCCTCCCGTCCCGTCCCGTCCCCTCCCCTCCCCTCCCCTCCCCTCCCCTCCCCTCCCCTCCCTCCCTCCCTCCCTCCTCTCCTCTCCTCTCCTCTCCTCTCCTCTCCTCTCCTCTCCTCTCCTAACCATTACTCTTAGCTGCACCCCTGGTTCTACACCAACCCTACAAAATCTTGACGTTATTTCTCTCACCAAATTGTATCATCAGATAGACTTACAGATATAGGGCTGTACATTCACATTGTCCTATCTGTGTGTCTCGGAGGTGCCGGTCGCAGTCGGTGAATAAGCCTTCAGCAGACTTCAGCAGCCCGTACCCTGTGGAGGACTTCCAGGGCCCCTGGTCCACCACCCAAGGCATCACCCCGATCCCCCGAGCCAACACCAACTGGGACTCAGCCCCCATGGAGATGACCGAGGGGGGTGGAACACACGACAAGAATCCCCACACCAACGGAGCGGTGAGTCACTTGTGATTAAGCCTGTATTCTTCTGGCCTAATGTATTCTAGACCATATGGAGACTTATTGCTAGATAAACCTCTCGCTTGTACATTGCCCCAAATTGTAATTGTCCTGTCTGCTTTCCTCTCACTGCGTTTGTCCTCTGGAAACCTAATACGCTAACTCCAAGATCTTCTCTGTCTTGTGTAACATATTTAAGATGCTTTGAGATTTTAACTCCTTAAATGCTGTGTGGTGCTTGTTATTTAACTCCTATATTACGTGCGTAAATCGTATGTAATATTTGAGTTGCTTGTTGTGCTATAACTGTAGCTGTCGTAGTGGAGAGTTAATGTTTGCTAGTGTTTATGTTAGCGAGTTAGTTAGCATGTATGTGTTCCTTCCCTTCCTTGCCTGACTCCCAGTGTGTTGCTTTAGGGATTCCACATCATGCATAAACGGGGGAAGAAGGTAAGGTTCTAAGTCTAGTAATGCTTTGCTTTCCCTCTCCTTACTAATCAAGCCTATAACCTATGCTCATGATTTTACTAAACCTTTGACCTGGTGATGGGAAAGATTGAAACTTAATGAACGCTTGGTGGAATAGTCAATAGCTTCCAATACCTTATGTGATCCACCATTTGGTTTATGAGGAAAATAACTCTTATTGGGTTTCAATAGTTCAAAATATACCGGGAACACAAGCGTTCATGAATGGTCAGTTTTGTCATCTTAATTTCATGTATGTTGCTGTTTGATTTGTGTGTTTGTGTGTGTGTCTGCATGTGTCTGTGTGTGTGCATGTGTGTCTGCGTGTTCTCTGACATTCCCGCCTGTCAATGTTTCAGACCGGGTCGTATGACCTGTCCTCAGACAGCATGAACACGTTCAAGGGGAAGAACCAGTCTCGCTACTCCTACCTGGTGCAGGGCCACGAGAACCCTTACTTCATACCTGCAGAAGAGAGGAGACCCGTATGAGAACCTCAGTGACGTCTGGAGACAAGGACCCGTATTCACAAAGCATCTTAGAGCAGAAATACTGATCTAGGATCATTTTTGCCTTCTTAAATCATAATGACTAAAAAGGGAAGACCTGATCCTAGATCAGCACTCCTACTCTGAGATGCTTTGTGAATATTTGCCATTGAGAGGAGAGAAGGACAGGTTAGAGAGAGGAGGGAAGGCTACAGGGAAGGTGGGGGGTATCTCACAAAAATGGCTAAAGATCAAATTGAGAAGTCACTGACTTATAGTAACACTGGGTATAGGTACATCCTCTCACTGTATTGTGTTGAACTGTGTATAACTCTGTGTATACCTTTTAATCAGGATGTTCTGGTAGATGCCCTATACTGTATAGGGCATCTGGAGTAATTCATGGTTTACAGTCATTCAAGGACTGGAGTCATTTATGATTTAACGACACAACTACAAGGGACTTGACAGCAGGGTTTTAAATATGTTCTTCTTAAATAGAGTCTCAAAATCAGCTTTATGATTCAGAACGATCTGGGGTCAAACATTCACTGACTTCACAGGGATTCACTTCAATAACTGACACCACCAAAGAGGATTTTGTTCACTATAAATTCATTGTTTACTTTTGAAACATTCCGTTCATCTGATCATATTCTTTATCCTGTTCTACATTACAATTCTGAACAAGATTTATAAAAAATATATATAATATTATGTTTTATTTGTGTCTATTAGGCTGCATTTAGACAGGCAGCCCAAATTATATTTTTCTCACTAATTGGTCTTTTGAAAGAGATCTGATGTGAAAAGATCTGATATGGTTGGTCAAAAGACCGATTAGTGGGAAAAAAGGTCAGAATTGGACTGCCTTAAACGCAGCCTTATTGAATGAAGAGTGAGCTGAGTATAGCTCGTCATAGCAAGTAGGTGTCACCATTGTTCAGGGTCAAGCTTTTCATGTTCTTTTTTTCTGCAGTGTGCTGGTACAGTTAGTTACCTGTATTTCTATGTCTTATTGAAGAGATTACTGATATATTTTATTGAAGATTGGTCATTCTGCATTGTAGTGTCTGTGCTCTCACAATCACCATAGTATTTCAAAATGATTCATCTCTTGCTAATTGCACTAAATTATATATTGTGTTTCACTACATGTTATTTGTTTGGGTGGGGGGAATCATAGACACATTCTCAGTGAGAGCAAATGTATTTTTGTATTTTTACTTTAGGATTGCTTGTGTTTTGATGAGGGAAGCTGTGTGTGTGAATGGTTGAAGGAGCTGGATCCCTAGTTCAGGGGGTTATACAGAAAAGGGATATTTTGTATTAGTCTGGTCTGGAGCTGAGTAGACCTACTCTATAGTCTATTAGTCTGGTCTGGAGCTGAGTAGGCCTACATTCTCTGTTATTAGTAGCTTCCCTGCTGAAGCTTTCTGCATCTGCAAACGTGCCTATTTCGATTGGTCTTTTTGAAGAATAGGAAAATTATGCAAAAAAAGCTCTCGACAAAGCTTGTTCTCGGATGTGCCAAATACCATATCTATACACTTCCGCAAAAATTTTATGTTTCTGGAAGTCTTTCATGTGTCTGTGTGTATTTGTGAGTACGTGTGTCTTGGAGACAGTGCACTATTTTCTAAATGTACATACAACTTTTGTAAATGAAACGTCTTACTGCAGAGAATGATGGAAGTGCGATGAAAATAAATTAATACACTTAAACACACAACATGGCTTTTCCTTATGTTATCATGCAGAAATGTTTTGTTTATAAACATTAGTGGATGTATCTGTGTATAGTCCACCTGTTACGAAGGAAATTCATAGTTTTGCTCTGATCCCAACAACTTCCCTAGACGACACACAAACACATGACACACGTTGTTAAGAGGAGCACATGGTCAGTCAGTCGCAGTGCAGAGCCCTGGAAGCCATGTCTACTAGGCTTTAATCAAGTCTGAGGAATGATTAAATCCTATGATGTCTGCCTCCAATGTAACCCATTTTATAGATGGAAAGACAGAGCTCCATTTTAGTGCTGGTAATCCACAGTAACACAGTGTGTAGCAGAGGGAGGTGGAGTGGATTTAGATTTAGCCCATATGGACAGAGTTGGAATTGGCCCATCCTGCTGGTCCAAATAAATCTCCACTAAATTCATCAGAGGTTAGAGGCTCTGCTCTGACCTTGTTTAGGAAGAGTGCACTGCAGATGCCAGATGTGCTTTCATGGAGATTTCATAGCAAAGCTGTCAGATACTGTACACATTTGGTGTGAGACATTATAGAGAGAAGGAAGAGGGACAGATGAAGGATCACCCTTTTAAGGATCAAGTGATTCACTCAAACATGAGCATAGCAACTTCCTTCACTGATATTCATGCTTCTCGGTTCTCTACCTTCTGTTAGTTCAGAATGATTTTAATTTCTTCACAAGGAAATTAGGAAGTACAGTGAAAACAACATCTGCTGTGGTGAGCTTTAGGTTCCAACTAACAGATGCTACCTAGAAAATAATTTGGCAGTTTTGTTTATGCTCTTTTTTCAGGAATACATTTGGACTGAATTTCAACATGACTTCACTCTGCAGTCTGAAATAGGTTTCCCTCAAGAATTTCCCTGTATTTAGCGACATCCATCATTCCTTCAATTCTGACCAGTTTCCCAGTCCCTGCCGATGAAAAACATCCCCACAGCATGATGCTGCCACCACCATGATTCACTGTGGGGATGGTGTTCCCGGGGTGATGAGAGGTGTTGGGTTTGCGCCAGACATAGCGTTTTCCTTGATGGCAAAAAGCTCAATTTTAGTCTCATCTGACCAGAGTACCTTCTTCCATATGTTTGGGGAGTCTCCATTTTTACATTTTTACATTTTAGTCATTTAGCAGACGCTCTTAACCAGAGCGACTTACAGGAGCAATTAGGGTTAAGTGCCTTGCTCAAGGGCACATTAACGTCATTTAGCAGACGCTCTTAGCCAGAGCGACTCACAAATTGGTGCGTTCACCCTATAGCCAGTGGGATAACCACTTTACAATTTGGGGGGGGGGGGGGGGGGGGGGGGGGGGGGGGGTTAGAAGGAATACTTTATCCTATCCCAGGTATTCCTTAAAGAGGTGGGGTTTCAAATGTCTCCGGAAGGTGGTGAGTGACTCCGCTGTCCTGGCGTCGTGAGGGAGCTTGTTCCACCATTGGGGTGCCAGAGCAGCGAACAGTTTTGACTGGGCTGAGCGGGAGCTGTGCTTCCGCAGAGGAAGGGGAGCCAGCAGGCCAGAGGTGGATGAACGCAATGTCCTCGTTTGGGTGTAGGGACTGATCAGAGCCTGAAGGTACAGAGGTGCCGTTCCCCTCACTGCTCCATAGGCAAGCACCATGGTCTTGTAGCGGATGCGAGCTTCAACTGGAAGCCAGTGGAGTGTGCGGAGGAGGGGGGTGACGTGAGAGAACTTGGGAAGGTTGAACACCAGACGGGCTGCGGCATTCTGGATGAGTTGTAGGGGTTTAATGGCACAGGCAGGGAGCCCAGCCAACAGCGAGTTGCAGTAGTCCAGACGGGAGATGACAAGTGCCTGGACCAGGACCTGCGCCGCTTCCTGTGTAAGGCAGGGTCGCACTCTCCGAATGTTGTAGAGCATGAACCTGCAGGAGCGGGTCACCGCCTTGATGTTGGCGGAGAACGACAGGGTGTTGTCCAGGGTCACGCCTAGGCTCTTCGCACTCTGGGAGGAGGACACAGCGGAGTTGTCAACCGTGATGGCGAGATCATGGAACGGGCAGTCCTTCCCCGGGAGGAAGAGCAGCTCCGTCTTGCCAGGGTTCAGCTTGAGGTGGTGATCCGTCATCCATACTGATATGTCTGCCAGACATGCAGAGATGCGATTCGCCACCTGGTTATCAGAAGGGGGAAAGGAGAAGATTAGTTGTGTATCGTCAGCGTAGCAATGATAGGAGAGACCATGTGAGGATATGACAGAGCCAAGTGACTTGGTGTATAGGGAGAAAAGGAGAGGGCCCAGAACCGATCCCTGGGGGACACCAGTGGTGAGAGCACGTGGTGCGGAGACAGCTTCCCGCCACGCCACTTGGTAGGAGCGACCGGTCAGGTAGGACGCAATCCAGGAGTGAGCCGCGCCGGAGATGCCCATCTCGGAGAGGGTGGAGAGGAGGATCTGATGGTTCACAGTATCAAAGGCAGCAGACAGGTCTAGAAGGACAAGAGCAGAGGAGAGAGAGTTAGCTTTAGCAGTGCGGAGAGTCTCCGTGACACAGAGAAGAGCAGTCTCAGTTGAATGACCAGTCCTGAAACCTGATTGGTTTGGATCAAGAAGGTCATTCTGAGAGAGATAGCAAGAGAGTTGGCTAAAGACGGCACGCTCAATAGTTTTGGAAAGAAAAGAAAGAAGGGATACTGGTCTGTAGTTGTTGACATCAGTGGGGTCGAGTGTTGGTTTTTTGAGGAGGGGAGCAACTCTCGCTCTCTTGAAGACGGAAGGGACATGGCCAGCGGTCAAGGATGAGTTGATCAGCGAGGTGAGGTAGGGGAGAAGGTCACCGGAGATGGTCTGGAGAAGGGAGGAGGGGATGGGGTCAAGCGGGCAGGTTGTTGGGCGGCCTGCAGTCACAAGTCGCAGGATTTTATCTGGAGAGAGAGGGGAGAAAGAAGTCAAAGCATAGGGTAGGGCAGTGTGAGCAGGACCAGCAGTGTTATTAGACTTAACAAACGAGGATCGGATGTCGTCAACCTTCTTTTCAAAGTGGTTGACGAAGTCATCCACAGAGAGAGAGGAGGTGGGGGGGGGGGGGGAGGAGGATTCAGGAGGGAGGAAAATGTGGCAAAGAGCTTCCTAGGGTTAGAGGCAGATGCTTGGAATTTAGAGTGGTAGAAGGTGGCCTTAGCAGCAGAAACAGATGAAGAAAATGTAGAGAGGAGGGAGTGAAAAGATGCCAGGTCGGTAGGGAGTTTAGTTTTCTTCCATTTCCGCTCCGCTGCCCGGAGCTCTGTTCTGTGAGCTCGCAGTGAGTCATCAAGCCACGGAGCTGGGGGGGAGGACCGAGCCGGCCGGGAGGATAGGGGACACAGAGAGTCAAAGGATGCAGAAAGGGAGGAGAGGAGGGTTGAGGAGGCAGAATCAGGAGATTGGAGGGAGA